TCCATTGTTCTAGCTTCTAATCGTAGCTCGAACAAGATCCTAGTTTGTTGTTGTCTCTTCCTGGAAGTCTCGACATCACACTAGTTATAGCTTCCGCCCTCCATCACTTTCTATATACGGGAAATTACCTCTTGTATCTATTAAAGTCCCATTGCTGTTATTTCTTAATCAAAGCTTTTGATCCTAATAGTCATCCATGTGTTACTAACGTACATAATCAGAACTGATGATCGTTTGTTAAAAAAAAGTCTTCAAAAAAAATCTGCATGGCTTCACCTCGACGAAGCTCCGGTCGAATAATTCAGACGGTTCGGACCTTCACCAATCATGAGGTTGATGGTTTTAGAGCTATCGACTTCTAGGTTAATAATCGTCTTTCCATCTTCAATTTGTTTTCGAAATCTGCGTGGCTTTACCATGACGAAGCTCCCGTTGAAAATCTCGATCGTCTTGGTCGATTCGATTTTGAGGTTGATGGTTTTGGAGTTATCGACCTCTAGGTTGAACGTTGTTTTTTCATCTATATTGTTAATAGAAATATGCGTTTTGCCAACGTACTCACAAAGTGAGGGAGATAAATATAATACGTTAGAAAAATGCTAGACAAAATCGAAATATGCATGAGACCAAAGAAGTTCTTACTCTGATGACTTGATGAGTCTCTTAAATTTCCTTTTGTTTATTATTGTTTTGTTTATTTCACAAGCCGGTGAGATGCTTTGTGAGTAATTACAGATTTCCAACTCAACACTGGTCGTTGTTTTTTCCCGACGTGAGACTTTTAATTAAAAGACTCATACAGGCAAGTAATACAAACAGTTTGAGACGTCCGATTGATCATATATACTTGCTAGATAACAAAATTTTACCTAAACGATGGCTGCCAACATCGTAAACAAATTGATTCATTTATCATGTATTATTTTTAAAAATACATGGATTTCACGTGTGTTTAACAAATTTAATATAACTTTCATCATATCTTTTTTTTTTTTAATCACACGAAGAAACATATGAGTCAATATAAATGGACTACAACCTCTGGAAATGTCGATGCCAATTAAACTCCCAAAGGGGGAAGTCATCAACGTGAATTTTGAGTACGAAAAACATTGTTTCCATTGTTTCTCCCTCTCTCATGAGGAAAAAGAATGCCCTGGTTCAGGGAATAAGGAAAAAGTTATCAACAATAACGAGAGAGAAGGGATAAATCAAGCAAACACAAGAAAGAGACTAGAGGAGGAAAGAATAAAAGATTGGGAAAATGGTAAACCCCATCATCGAATGGATTCTCACGGAGCTTCTCCTCGTATCAGTGAGAATGTCCACAGAGAGGTCAGAAGAAGTGTGTCCCCAATAAGAGGATATGACATGCCCAACCACTCCCAACAAAAAGCCAAAGAGAAGACAGAGAGCCATCAGGTCATCAAAACCGGAATTCCTCATCTCACAACCATAGATCCCAAGGCTCTATTACTCCACCACCAAACCCTCCGAGGGACCTTATGAACTTACCAACTATCAGGGAACAAGGAGAGGTTAACAGCTCTTCTCTTACGAGACGGCCAGCTTTAGAAAGGATCTCCACTCCAACTGTATTTGGAAATAACAAAGAAACAGAGGGTTCCAAGTGCAAGAAGGAGCGGAGGAAAGTCAAGACCGTCTCATAGTAACAATAGATGTTCTGGCATCTTCACCTCATTACATAGCACGCAAGTTTCGGTCAAAGGAAAAAACTTCTTCATTACCTTCATATATGGGACGCCACAAAGAGAAGATAGAGCAGATGTTTGGAATCAAATCTCCCTAGTGGGGGTATATAGAGACACATCGTGGTTACTTACGGGCGACTTCAACGACATCCTTGAAAATTCGGAGGTCCAATTAGGGGAGAGGGAACCTTCATACCATTTCGTAGCTTTGTATCTCAAAACGGATTGTGGGATGTAAAGCACTCTGGAAGTGCTCTATCTTGG